GTCCCATGGATTTGGTGGAGTGCTCAGTCTGGACACCTGCTGAGTTGCCACACTGACATTTTATGCCACTCAAGACCTTTGTGCTTCTCCTGTCACACAGTGGGCACAGTTGCAGTGACTTCTCACCTGGTGAGGCTGCAGGGCACCCCGGAGCTCCCTGCCAGCTTTACTGCCAGCTCCAGCAGAGCCGTAGCCTTGGGACCACCAGGGATTAATGAGCCTTATTTAGGGACACATGAGCTGCACAAATTAAAGAACTGAAACCCAATCTTTAATTTAGCCAGCACAGGTAACAAACAGATCAAGGTAAGACATACACCAGAATGTATTTCCCTCATTCTGGAAGTCCAATATTAACCATCCAATAAAGAACTGGCTTCCAGTACAATAGATTTTTTAAAACATTAATTTTCCAATCTAACCTCTACAGGCAGTTCCACTCTGTTACTCTGCTCCCTAATGAGTGGTGCAAAATCCTATTCCCCTTTTTTGCCAGGCAACAGCTGAAAGTCCCAAAGTGACAACTTTCCAACCACTTTTGCCTCTCACTCTCAACCTGAGCTGTTTCACCCTTGCAATCACTTGCTGACTGTGGGCAGTGATCAATTCTTTCCTACAGCTGTTCTTTCTTGCATGGATAGCTGCTGGCCAGTTTATTTTCACCAGACATTTAATGGTTGATCCAATGGTAGGTACCTAAAACTTCTCCCATTGTTTCTTCCTGATTTTTAGTTCAATGAAAGTAAAAGGAAAATTGTTGTTTCATCCCACTACTTTGCCTCTATCCAAACAAACAAAATAGTAGTTGAAGAGTATTTTCTGTGAGAAGTGTCAGAACATTTACTACCTATAAATTCAGCATCCTTGGAATTGATAAAACAGGGTGCTTACATGTGGCACTACTCAAGAGGCAGCAGCTTCTGCCCTAAGAACTGTAGTTCACACTCTCTACCAGCTAAAACACAGTAAATTATTCCCTCAAGCCTGCTACAGCACAAACATCTCCTTGACTCTGACCAAAAATTCTTCTCAGGAAGCAGAGGATTTGTAGAGATAAACTCCTGCTGGAGTACATGATATGCTGGCCCTGGGGCTCACATTATGCACTTGCTTGTACATAATGAAGGTGGTAACATGCCAGAAATATTTTTCCCCTCAAAGCTGGGCTCTTCACTGAAAGGTAACACAATTCTAAAGGATAAAAATACTACCTAGTTGGGAGTTTGGCATCACTAATGTTGCTAATTCTGGAAATTCTATCAATTTTCATTGATAAAATAATCCATTTTACTTTTATATCTAGTTCAGCTGTTCTCCTCAAATTACTTCTGGTGGCAGCGAGTGCCATTCATTTAATGAAAAAATGTTTCTATCAAATGTGAATTTGTCACCTCTGCTTTACAAATGTAAAAACCGGGCCTATAAAGCTACAAGACAGAAATAGAAGTTCTCCATCCATTTTGTCTGTGTTAATCATCACTGTAGCTATTTTAACCTCTCATTCTCTTCAATCTCTCTGTAATATTTCTGCTGTCTCACTATTTTTGTTAGCATTTTCAAAATCCTAAGGAAATTGAAATTCAAAGCATGATGGCCAGAATTCAGATTTGGACTGATCCAGGTAATTTCAAAAATAAGAGAATACTTTGCTTTCTCTGCCTATGCCGTCCTTCACATTCCAAACTGCAACTTCCTTTGTCACTGTGATCCACTCCCTGAGCTTGATAATGTATCATTACAGTCTTTTTTTTTCTGTGAGCTGACTTTCATAACTTTCATTATTTTCTATCTCACTAGTCCTTTTCCAGATTAATTAAAAAATCCCAAACCAAATACTTATCAAAAAAAAAAAAAAAAAAAAAAGCCAAGTAGAAGTCAACAATAAACTACTGGAAAAACCCAGAGCATAACAAGGGTCTTGTAATTATAGTGTAAGAAATTGGTAAGCAAATTAGCTCACACATTTTAAATCTCTTCACAGGTATGTACATGTGGCACAGAAGGACAAATATGTCTTTATTATACTACTTTATGAGGATTGTTAACAGCTTATTATCATGAACCATATATCACCATCAGCCTCTTGAGTAACAACAAACCTTTTATTGTGCTCTGAAAATTCAAAGCTATGGCCAAGACAGGGTATCTAGGAAGAACCTCAGGACTGCAGCAGAAATAAAGGGGGAAGGAACTCTCCTTTAAGAATCTTAACAGATCTTGGCATTTTCTCTGATTTAGGCACAGAATTCCTCCCGGTTTCAATAGTATATCTGCTGTTAATTGTCTAAATGCCAATTTACACAGGACATATAGCTCAAAATCTGTTCAAGTTTAACCATTTAACATAAAGTTGGCAAGAGAGTTTTAGATGGAGAAGTATATCCATCCATACATTTGCTTCTTGAAGCAAGATTTGTGTAAGAAATCTAATCAGAGCACACACAGAACTACAAAATACATCCCTGGAGAGCAGCAGCAGCAGCAGCCATCCCTGATTTCTAGCTAGCCCAGAAACACCTGCCTGCCTTCTTAACTGTGAGAGAGGAAGTTTTTACAAAGTGCTTATGTTTCTCTTCTAAGTTAAATCATTGTTCCTTCTGTTGCAAATGTGCTAAGGAATGGTAGCCATAAACTGCAGAGATCAGCATTAAATTAATCTTGATGCAGCACCCTAGCAAAGCCTCTAATATTACAGTGGCCACACTTTCTTCCCTCCAGCAGCTGAGCTAATCCCCAGAACTGTTTCCAGAGCCATAATTTTGCTATCCTTTAAGAGAAGTTAGAAGTAGAGCACTTTCATTGCTACCAGATACTACAGAATCACAGAATGGGCCAGGTTGGAAGGCACCCCAGTCGGTCATCTGGTCCAACCTCCCTGCTCAAGCAGGGCCATCCTAGAGCAAATGGCATAGGGTTGCATCCAGACAGTTCTAGAATGTCTCCAGTGAGGAACACTCCACACTCCCTCTGGGCAATCTGCTCCAGTGTGCAATCACAGCACAGTAAGGAAGTCCTTCCTCATGTTCAGGTGGAACTTCCTGTGCATCAGTTTCTGCCTGTTGCCTCTTGTCCTGTAGCTCAGCACTGCAGAGCCTGGATCCATTCTCTTGGCACTCTTCTTTAGATACTTAAGGACACTGATGAGGTCCCACCTCAGTCATCTCTTCCCATGGCTGAACAGGCCCAGCTCCCTCAGCCTTTCCTTGTAAGAGAGATGCTCCAGTCCCTTGCTCTTCCTTGCTCTTCTCCACTGCACCAGGAGCTCCATGTCTCTCTTGTCCTGAGGAGCCCAGAACTGGACACAGCACTCCAGATGTGCTTCACCAGGGCAGAGTAGAGGGACAGGATCAGCTCTCCCGACCTGCTGGCACTGCTCTTCCATCCTAATCCACCCCAGGACACCAATGCCCTTCTTGGCCACAAAGGCACTGCTCAGGAGCAGCTTGTTGTCCACTAGGACCACCCTAGGTCGTTCCCCACAGAGCTCCTTCCCTCAGCCTGTGCTGGTGCAAGGGGAAGAGCCCTGCATTTGCCTTTGCTGAATTTCAGACCGTTCCTCTCTGCTCATCCCTCCACCCTGCTGAGGTCCTTCTGAAGGGCTGCCCACAATACCATTCCTCTCATGTGTGACGGTTTATAACACACACAATGGTAGAAGAGACAGCTGTAGTCCCTTCATGGTATTTCAGAATAAGAAGGGCTACAGATCATCCTGTCCTTCCCTTCCTTCATGACATCTATTAACTAATGCATAGGGAAGAGATCATTTCCATCTACCAGTGCAAATCAAATGTCAAACTCTTCAGTGTATTATCAGACCATCCAACAGCCTGACCCTGCAAAGACTTAGCTTTAATCTTTTTGGGCTTCTAGTATCCACTTTACTCCCATGAAAGAAGAAGGGAAGCATATGCATGAGCTTTAGCAAGGCTGGGAAATGTGGGACTAAGAGCTACTGCTTTTGTTTTGGCAAATGCACAAACCACAACACAAAGCACACAAGGAAAAAAACACACATCCTTGAGCAATCCCCCCACCCCAGTTTTCCACCCTCCTCACACCACAACAGAAATGCTCTTCCAAGGGCAGAACTCTGACAATTGGTGGGAAAATTCAGGCAACTGTTGTATCCACTTTCTGCAGGAGTCATTTTGGCATGCTTTAAATGCCAGGCAGTATTTAAGGATTTGCTTGGACATGTGCATATATGCATCTTATTCACCTTAACAAAAGGGAACTCCACATACTTTGCTACAGAACCTCACCAAATACTTTAAATGGAAGCTTCTGGATTTTCATGTATTTATTCTGTATTAAGTGCCTGGCTACTTTTTCAAACTAGGATTACATCTCATGCATTTGTTTTTCAAAATCAATGCATTTGAAAGATTTGTTTAACTAACTGAGCATGTCCTGTCTCAGACCATTTCTTTTTCTTGTGCTGTCATAGCCATTTCCCATCTAATTCTGTGTTACTTGGGTGGTCAGCATTTTGGACAAGGGAAGTCTATCACACTTTTGTCTTTTTAAAGAAGAAGGTTTGTGTCCCTACAGTTTCTTATTTAGCAACCACACTGCAGAGCAGAAGGAAAAGCCCCCTCCCAAGATTCATTTTGGTCATGAGCATACAATGGTGTCATCTCAGTTCCCAGCACCTCAAGGGGAATGTCCGTGCTCTCTGCCATCAGTAAATGAAGACTGCAAAAACTCCCAGTCCAAGCACACGGCTCCTGGGAGGCACACAAGTGTCTGACACAGCTGCACTTTTGCAACTGCTCATGCCCACATTCCTCTTCTACAGAAGAAAGACTTCCAGGCCACTTATGGAGTGAAAAGAAAACAAATATTGAAGTGATAAATCCCATTAGCATTTTTCAGCAAGCTTTGTCCCCCTCCTTTTTAAAAAATAAGTAAAATGGAGTCCTTACTTAATTTCCAGATTAAGAAGTACTATTAAAAGCAGTTCAGGCCCAATTACAACCCTTGAAACACCACTGAAATGCACTACAATATTCTTTTATTTAGTTTACAGAAGAGTCTATCAGTACAGGTTGCAGAAAGAAAATGTTTAGTGCTATTTACAATTTGTTTTAAAACTCTGCTCTATACAAATTTAATTCTGATCAGTATGAACAATATTTTTGTAAATCTACTGCATATAAAGCATTTCATCAAAGCAGTAACAATGAATAAAATAACCTGTTTACATTTGAATGATGCCAATCATTCGGAAAAACGATTACACAGAACATCTGTAAGAGTTGTGGACACTTAAGTACAGAACACAATGTCAACCTGTGACTCAGTTTTTTAAAGGCTAAAGCTATTTATATGGAATATTGTTCTATTATACTACACGCCAATCTATATTTAACTTCTATAGTTATGTATTTTATAAGATTTTTATTAAATATATTCTACACATATTTGTAATTTCACCCAGGAAGAATTCCTCCCCAGTGAAAAAATATAAAATCTTTTATATTTTTTAATTTTTATTTATTTTTATTTTTTACAGGTTTAGATGAAACTAGCTCATGCTTTAGTGCTGTGCAAATTTCTTTAGCATATCAACATTTAAATTATTGATATGAAATAAAAGAATGGCATCCTTTTCAATTATGTATGCCTTCAAAAATCAGCTTCTGATTTTAATACCATTGCAAGCACTAATACCAAATGCAGATTACGTAAAGAAACAAAACTAGTACTATGGCAGAAGATTTTCTTTTTGCTTTTTAAATTTTAATAATTCTTTTGAAATTTCTAATGAGTAAGCATGACACTGAAGTCTAAGGTACAGATGAGAAAAATGACTGAAAAACACCAATTGCCAATATTCAAATACATAAAACTGATTAGTAAATGATGTTTTCTAACATTTATGCACAATAATAAAAGCCTATGAACTACAGGAAACTACCCCTCCCATATTAAGGCTAGGAAATGCACTCTCTGCACTTGTTTGTGCTGTCTGAATAAGCACTCAACTAACACACGATCGGAGTGCACACAGTAACAAAAAAATCAGTTTCATCAGCCCTCTACAGAGTGCTTTTAAATTACAGGCACATAGTATTTTTTCTTTGTTGCAGTGAAAAGATATATAGTTAGACTTGGTTTAGTTAGTATCTGTGCCAGTTTGGCCACCGAGGTTGACTTAGGTAGAATTGACTTAACAGTTTTTCCTTTGATTTGGCCATAAGTGAGATTTGTTTTACTTATTAATATACTACTTTCCAGTGTTGCATTATACATTGTGGGTTATTACTAGATGTCTCAAATATTGTTAGAGATTGTTGAGGAGAAATATACTGTCAACCATATTTAGTGCAAATTGCATCTAGAAAGCTTGACTGGTTAGATCCGGTTAATGCAGATTTTTGTGGTAGCAAAAAGATTCCTGCTATGGAAAAAAACACAAACTTTTCTGGAGACTGAATTCTTTCAAAAAGTGATGTACTGTAAGATTATTCAACAAACAAAAAGGAGGAATTGAAAAAAATAAACAACTAAAGTGTTCATAGATCTTTCACTTTTTTTTTTTTTAAAGACTAATGAGACAGTGTTCGTGTATTATTTCAGTTCCATGGATTTACAGACAGGCTCTTCCTACAGGTGGTTGAAGCAAGGTAGGGCCTCTTCTATTCCAGCAGCATGAAAGACAAAGACTATATTACATCACACTTAGCAGGTAAAGCTAACAGGGTTTACAGGATTACACAGCAATTGCTTTCTCCAGTTTTTTCACGGTTCCTTTGACCTGCAAAGAAGAGGGAAGTTTTACTTACATTCCATTTCTAAAGCAATGAGGCTGTTCTGTGTGAGAGTATGCTTAATGCAAGTCTGTTCTTAATTATTTCCAGTAAAAAAATTATTTCTTGTTATACACATGCATACATAACTGAAAAATAAAGGACTAGTTTTTCACAATAAAAACAAGAACTTTTAAGATCTGAGTAAGTTTCTGCACTATATAAAAATGCTATACAAGAAAGTTAATTTCTTAGTTTTCTACATACACGTAGAAAAGCATTCCATTAACTTCTTCACAAAAGAGCACAAGGGCTTGACTTTTCTCTACTATGAAATACTCAAAGAGCCCATAAGGCCCTGACCACTCTGCCATGTATTTGAGTAAGAAACTCCTCTAGTGCCCAGCCTACCTTGAGAGTTTGGTTCTGGCAGTGTCTCTCTAGCCACCAAATGCATCACTGTTGTTTTGCCAAAAGGAAGTTTTAATGCTACAAAAGGAAAATGGGAGAGTTATTAACACATTATATCAGCCCTTTTTTCTCCAAAATGCCCAGCTGAAATAACTGTAATTTAATTAGCACCTACTCAAAAGTTCATACTGTTACATTTAACTGCTTACTGGTTGAAGTTTGGTAAATAGGGATTCAGGGCATGACAACAGTCACTTAGAACACTGCATTCTGAAAGACATGATACTCCTGCTAGGAAGCTTAGCCTTCCTCTTTTGAGTAAAAAAGTGAAGTGGGCATTCATGCCAAGACTCAGGTGGTTAAGCACTCTTTAATGATAAGGCTGCAAAAAATGCAGCCACCAAATTGTTATTCCTGAGATATCAAAACACTGAGCCTCTACAGCAAAACAGATTTTCCTAACACATATTTTGATCCATGACACAGATTTCTTGAAATACAAAATATCCGCATCTTGCCTTTTAATACTGATCTGTAATATCAGCTGCATGTGAAAAATATAAAATTTAAAGTAGTAGGTCTCACAATGCTGCCTTTGTGAGCTTTAGCAACAAACAAAAATTTAAAATTATGCACAATTCATTCTGCTTGTGTCTGAAACTAAAATGATAATTTCTACATTCCAATTTAAGTATACAAATACACTGAATACTTAAAGTATCTTCCTTGATTGTTTTTCTGAGAAATAAAAGGTCTTCTGGCAAAGTTCTGTCCTTCCCACTTTATAGTGGAAAAAAAAGTCAGTGACAAATTTAACAAGAATTTAATCCTTAATACACAAATAATTCTGACTTGAGTAGACTTTGTCCTATCAAACTCAAGCTACAGCTTTTATTTTCACGTAAAGTGAGACGGCATTTTAAGTGAATAAATGAATAAGGAATGGGCAATGAACCTGAAGGCAAATGAAGTAAAAAATGCCTTTCTGTTTTAATCCCTACAGCATAGATTAAAGATTCACCAATAAAAAGCCTCACTACACCACCACTATTAAATCATGTTCATTGCCTACATATTTATTTAAAAAAATGCAAATGATGATTAAAAACACAGGTTCAAACACAGGTGTAAGCACACAAAGTGATACAGAACTCCACAAGATTCTTTGAAGCAGCTGTACTTTGGGAAAAGCCATCTCCGTGGAAAGGCAAATCTGAAAGTTGCTTAGTTTACTTGAAGCACTGCCTGTGCCCTGCAACTAGAAGCTATGGATAACTTGAAATCTGACAAAGACAATGCATTTTGGGTACTTGACACTGATAAAATTGAAAACTTTGACTGTTAATATGCTCTTTGCAAACTCCATGGAAAAGGATTGTGTTCATAACATAAACTCCTGAATTACAAAATAATCACATTAGGAACATCTTTCATAATATCAACACAATTCAGGAGATTTGATTAGTGAGTTGTGGAGATTAACTATTTACAGTAATCAAGTAGTACTGTGCTAATATTTATATTATATATTAGCAGTTTGCACAGTTTACACAAGCTCTTGCTAGAAATTTCCAGCTTCTTGCTTGGAGCACCATGACAGCAACTGAGCAGCCTAACCTATGCTCAGTAATCCTTTCTTGCTCTTCTCTTTGTGCTCTCACCCTTTCTCTCAGTTTAGCCAATTTGTATTTAATTCCTTTCCCAACTGTTTGATTCCATTGCTGCCTTGTATTTTCTATCATCAGAACTTACTTTTCACCCCCTTTTGGAGTGTGGATGGCATATGGTGAGTTAAACTTCCCTTCACCAGTAAATAAGGAAGCAAATGCTGCTGATTACCATTATCTACCAAGAAATGGAGAACTGTTGATTATGTATTACTTCCCTAATTAATATTATTTGAAATGCAAACTGCAGAACAAATATTTAGCTAAAGGATTAAATTTCCTGTAGGAAGCTGAACAACGGACTCTGCCTTGCTAGCCAACTCCCCAGCCCTCTGCACAGGCAGAACACAACAAAGCAGTGTGGCTCAAGCACTGCAGGCAGGAGCAGTGCAGAGCTTTACAGAGGTGTCTGTTCCACACTGCTCCCAGTGCCATTAGCTCTGCTGTTCCTGTAGTGACCGGCCATTCAGAGGGCGTATCACAAGGGATGATTTATTGAAAATACAGTTTTTCACTCAAAAGCACTTTTTCCTACCAATTTCTCTTTTCTGAGGCATCTTAGTTTATAGGAGTCTTAAATTCATAACACTACACAGACATGTAAGGTAAAAGTGAACAAAAATGGACTCCAGTTAAAAAGAGAAACATCAAACTGTTTCCTTAGAAACTTTTGTTTCACTGGATGATAAAATGGTTTTCAGCAGGTCCAAATTCCAGTCAATATTTCCTTATCACCTAAAGCAAATATAACACTAGGTGCTATAACTCAGTCAAAGAGAACTGCAGCTAGAAAAGCTTAATGAAAGTTAAGCTAAGTTAAGAAACGTAATATAAATATTTTTATTTTAATAAACTCCCCCCTTCACCTCCCTTATAAAGGTAACTAGTTCACTTAAGGTTACCTCTAATGAACAACACAAACTGAAGTAAGAGTCTTTTCAGGCTGTTTCATGAATTCCTGTTCCACTTTCAGCTGTGTAATCTTACTCCTGATAGCTTCATTAGTGCTCAAGTTAAGCCAATGTTTTAGGGATTCTTTTTCTTAAAACAATATAGCAACGAGAATATTTTTGAAAAACACTAATATACATGTAAGATCCTTGGGGTAAAAACATGATGATTAAATCTCAACGCATGAGTGATTAAGAATGAACTAAAATGCCCCGAACCCAAGTAAGTGTTCAAAATTCATAGACCTAAGTTAATGCAAAAGTCAGCAGCATGCAGCTATTATTTTTCAGCTTAATTCATTAAATAATATATTAAATATATTGAACAAATATTCAACATTTTCTCATATTGAGACAAATGTCACTAAATGGAAAAATACTGATGGTGAAGAGCAGCACTCAGTAAAGTGTGAAGTAAATAAATGGCAAAGTAAATCCCAGTTAGCTATCCTTGCCTGGAAATGTAGGGTAAGACTAGCATCTTTAATTGCAGAGATGATCCAAGACTTAACATTTGTCTTTCAACTCTACTCCAACTGCTACTAGCTGCACTCACTGTCACCTGGTAAAAATACAAATTAAAGAGTGAATAAAAATTTCAGAGTTCTTCCAGCTGAGCTGACAATGATCTTGTTTGTATATATAGAAGCATTAAAAATTTATATATGTGGAGAGTAAATCTATAAGTACATCACTAGGCAACACTGGGAATGGTAGAAAGTGAATCAATAGCTATATCATCCCAGTCAATTTTTCATGGAACATCACCATAAATAGTCCAGAAATATTATTTTCAGATTCCTCTTAACTTCAAAATAATTAATTGATGATTTTGAATTGTATTATATTCTCCTTTCTGTACAGCATTCAGGTACCAAACCATGTATAATTTGAACATACAAAGTAGAAGCATTAATTTGTTTTTAAACAGGCACAGAATGGAGAGTCTCATATTGTTTAGTCATTGATACAGCTGATATTCCCACTGGCAAATGCTACCTACAAAAGGAGGGATGACTTAACAAATGTGTGTCACACCTCTATGAAGGGTTCCCACCAAAATGCGTAATCGTGGGGAAACACTTGCCACGAGAGGGCACAGTTGAATTGCATTTCCTTAGCAATCGAAGTGAAGCCATTTACTGCTGTTTTCACATAACTATGCAATTGTATCCCTGGGAGAGCACTGGACAGCAAGAATGCTTCCCCTCATTCTCATTCACAGGGTGTCTCCCTGCGTTGCACGAAGATTTAAAGTATTGTTTGACCAATTATCATAAAGTTTATCAAGCATTTTAAAATACTTCAGATATTTATTAAGTAGCTTGTACTGCAAATGCAGTGTAAGAGAGCTGGAACAAAATATTCCATTTAGAAAGACAACAAATAAAAGCAGCACTACAGTTTCTTTGTGTGAGAGGAGACTTGACTTAGCAGGTGGGACCTCGCAAAGTTTAACAGCTCGTGGTAACAAGATGGAAAAACATGCAATAAAGTACAATGTCACTGTATGCACAAGAACAGCAGTATAAAGCAGGCCATCCTGTGATCTTGAACAATAAAGGAGTATTCACTGAACTGTAAATAAATATCCCCTTTTGCCAAACTGTAACATGTATAATAAGAATTATTTTCATACCTCCTAATGTCACGTTGCCATGAAGAAACCTCCCTTGATAAATAAGCCGCAAGATATTTGGACTGCTGACTTGTTCTTCTTCCCAGTCTGAAAAGAGAGAGAATTTTCACAGTTACATTGTAATAAAAACATCTTTTGTTACTTCTCTCACCTTTACTCAGGAAGAAAATTGGGAAAGGACTCTTGTATAAAACACTGAAGAGAGAACACAGGCTGAAGGTACAGGAAGATAATTCAAGGCCAGCACTCCTGAAGTCTATTCTTGAATCTATTATTTAACCCTGGGCATTGAAACACATAATTTTATGTCTGCAAGTATAAATATTACTGATGTCACAGACTGCAGGATATATTTAGCTGATACACAAGTCCTAAAGAAAATATTTCATACATGCAAATTGCTTCCTGAATCTTGATATCCAGGCCATTCTGAAGCTTCCCAAGCCATACTTCTCATCACCAGCTAATTGACTAGCTGGAGCCGTTCTCCAGCAACGGGAAGCTGCTGCACACAGAGCGAGCACGCATGTGATGGGTCACTTGAAACAGGACTCTGAGATCACAGCCCTGAAAAAAGCTCCGGAGGCAGCTCAGCGCAGTTCGATGACGGCCAGATCCAACCAGTTCCATGTCTGGAGGGGGCAGTGACCTGAGCAGCCCCCGACTGCCACCACAGAGCTCTCTCAGAGCACCCACCATTACATTTTAAGGAGCTTCTCCAAGGCCCATCCGTTTTTATGTGTGTTTTTATGTGTTTCAGTGTTTTTATGTAGCAAACAGTGGTTCAAAAAAAAGCAAGCTTGCATTTTCCTATAATGCTTAAGCTATCATAAATAAATGATAAGCTTAAATGGTCTTTCCTACTCTTTTCCCATTCCCTGTCACAATGTGAAGAACAAATAAATATGCACTTTGCTTTCAGAACAAGTATCATAAAGCCTTGAAATGTTGAATTTAAATGGTCTCTCTGGGAATACAGTGTCTTCTATTTCTTAGATGACCAGATATCTGGCTACAGTTGTTCACAAACATTCTCTCTTTCTGTTTTTGCAGTGTTTATATAGCAAAATCAATATTCAGCAAGGGATCAGGATAAGCCACAGAAACCAACCTGTTCACTGGGAACACACAGTTAACATACAGGCAAAAGCAACTGGCACCACAAAAGGAGAAGAACTGAAAAGGGTAGAAGGGGAAGCATGTAAAACAAAAGCCACAGCTGCAGAGTGTACAGAGAGGCATCTGGTGCAAAAAGCAAGCAGGCAGAGACTGGGCAGCAGGAGCCATCTCAGCCCCAGACCGCGGTGGGAGCCAGGCTGGTACCAACAGTAGAATGTGCAACACTCCCAGGTGCTCCCATGTGCCTGGTTTATAAGATTAGATCAAATTAGGCAACCAAAGCTATTTGAATTTCAAGTATTTCCACTTCGGGTCTGATTCAATTGTCTTGCAATTCAAGCACATGCCCGTTCCACTGTGCTGTGAAGTGGGCTACATCAAGGCTGAATTATTGCACTGCTACCATAATAGTTTTGTTTTGGACTTTTTTACTCCATACAGTCTGAACTCCACTCTACTGTGGCTCTAAAGAGAAATTCAGCCAGTTGACAGTGCCATAATGATGTAAAAGCACAACCAAAAGAAGACAGACTAGATTTTGGCACAGGTATTTTCTCACTGTTAAGCTGCCAAGTTACCCATCCTTTTAATTTCTGCTTCTTGGCTGGAAGTCTGAAACATTTCTTTCTGACATGAATTCAAATTTTAATTTCCACTGATGACTAAATGTGCCAAAGACTCACTGAATCTACTTTTTTTTTTTTTAAAGTTCAGATAATTGCTGTACAAGAAAGAAGTTAATATTATTTAGCAGAAAATGGGGAGGAGAAGAAGAGAACAGGTAGCCTATCTAGATGATATACATTAAAATAAATTTGGCATTTTCTACTGCAAGTCGAGACATCCTTAATTAACAACTGTATTGCCAAAAGAGGTGGGGCAAGGTTTGCCTTAATCCTGCCAGCATGTGACGGAGGTTATTTCATTCCTTTTTTCCCCACAAGATCATGACAAGTCCAAATGGTGGTAAAAACAATTGTAACATCTCTGTTTAAAGGCAACTTTAGTCCTCATCAAGATTTCTCAGTTCTGTGGCAAAGAGGAGCATTCTTAGTCTGAAAACATCTAATGGGCAAATGTTTGTGAAAATCTATATGCTATTCTGAAGTGAGATGTCTTTTTTTCATTTAAATTGAGACTATTCTTCTTTGTAAAAGCAATTAAATATTCATCAAAATTTAGAGTACTCCCTCAGGACAGCAGGTATTTGAACTGAGATTTCCATGTCTGGTTCTACGTTTTTTTAAAGAAGAGACTTTAAGGTCTGGGTTTCTTCCCAACTCTAAACTCAGAATCTGAAACTTTCAAGCTCTTCACAAGACTGTGAACATGATATCACATGTTCACAGGCATAAACTTGAGTAAGGAAAAAAATCCAGTTCTGCCTCTACCAATTCAGATAAATGTACACAAACAACATTTGGTTATGACAACTATGTTGTACATTATGTACACATGTACATTAAAATATGTACAGCACAGAAGCTATGCTAACCTATTTTTTAAAATGTTTTACTTCTGTAACTAATACTTCAGAGAATTTAAAACCTCCTCCTTCATTACATATTTTACTAAATACATAATACTGCATCCCAGCAAATCAAACTGCAAACTGAACTTCTTTCCTGACCTCAAAGACCAGTTTAAGGCCTAAAATACTGATTATCACCATTAAGTTTTTGGCATAAACTATTATCCACCATATGTCTTTGACAAAGGCACCACAGAAACAGATAGTGCAATGTTTTAGTTTGTCTAAATAGTAGTCTTTTTTAACATCAAAACAGTAACCCAAATGAAGTCCTGTACCAAAAGAAGCATTTTCTTTCATCGTATGTAATGCTATGTCTGGGTTTTGGCTATTTTCCCATGAAATCATAGTCGGGGAGAACAGAAGCACTTTGTTTTGGGGAGCTATTCACATATGTGAATACACATCTTAAGTTCTCAAGTCCATTTTCCAAAGCCAGTATTCCTGCATGACACCAAGTATATTTACACAAACAACATCCAGTCTTCTAATGTCTCTTAAAATGAGTTTTTATATTCGTTTTCTTCCTGAAGAAATATCAGTATTACAGATCCTTTCCAAGATAAGGCAGTAAGGAAAAAGTACTTCAGACTCAATTTTACTAATGCATTCCTGTGACTTCCCATGTTTTATTTTAGCTGTTCTCACATAAGAGGTTTTATACCTCTGACATTTCCTCACACTTACTAGATCTTCTAAATTGATCAATAAAGAAAAGTGTCTAAAGATAGGGGGAAAGAACTACTTCAATTTGGGTAAGCAGATTTTCGAAATAAAGTACAAAACAGTCCTAACATGTAAAAATCTGCCCAACTGATGGAACTGTGAAAAAGAAGGCAGGACACCTGTATTTCTACATAAATCTTTGTCCAGATAGTGAATAAACATGCTTAATTTGAATGTTGAGCAAGAGATCAGTTTACTGACACTTCAGTCTGAATACACAGGGAATCTCCTTGCTCACCAGTTAAAAAGCCAAAGCCACGCTGCTACTCACCCATTGGCCAGTTGTCATACACATGTTTTGCAATATCTGCAGCAGAGTCATTCGGTGAAAACAGGAACTCTTTTGTTTTCCCGCTTACCAAGATGAGGCGCAAATTTATCTGGTAAAAAACCCCAAAACATTAGTATTAGGAAAGTTTACAGAGACAACTTAAATTATTTTTTACAGTTACTAAAAACTGTCGTTGGTTTTGGAAGACTGCTCCAAATTATTTGAGAAAACAGTTTAACATGTTAACATATGTTAAAAAGAGGGTCAAAGAGGTGAACAGAATGTTGTTCACATATCCATAATCTAGGAAGATTAAATTCTGACAGCTGGTATTTTTGATTATAAACACGAGAAGATTCTGTTAGTGATTGAATCAACTGTGCCAGTAAAAAAAAAAAAAGCTTTCAGTAAGGTAGAAACATACTCTAGCAATGACACATAAGCAACATAGCTCCTGAATGAAGAGGAAAAATATAAACCTGAAAAATAACCTTAGAATTAAAATATCAAAATCTGCACCTGAATACCCTATGAGCCTAAATAAAAGCCCTAGAATGCTCCCTCCTGATCTCAGCTAGTGCATCTCCTACAAGATGCCACAGTCAGACAGCATCCTTCCTTGCTCCCAGCTGCCACAGAGTTGCCTTCCTGAATCCCTCTGCCAGTCTTCTGAATCCAAAACTTTGTCCCACAACTGTCTTTCACCACAAGTAAAGTGAGGTCCACATGCAACACTGTAATAACATCACACCGTAATTTTTCTTTCATTAATTTCCTCCATATAACCACCAGCACCTTCAGCCATAATTTTCCTCCCTTCTATTTGCAAACTACTGAATATAATTTCTTTTCCATATAGCATTAAAATAACACATATAAAAAGCTCACCATGACATTATTTACAATGCAAAAGAGATTAAATTTTGGCTCCTCAAGCGACTGTTTGCAAGGTCACAAAATACATTTGGTAGCACATAGCAATGCCCATGGCAAGCAGGAGTCTAGCTGCTGTTGTACTTTGACCCACAAGCCCACATTTCATCAAGTTTCAGTGAGACTTTAGCAGACTAACTGCTTGGATACTTTTTTCCAAGTCACACTCTCAAGTTGTGGCTCTCACTTTAGGTAAGTTGCAACAAAGCTTTCTTTGTTGGAATTCAGCAAACTGTTTTCTACACCAAATATCAAGTGCAAAATTTACAGCAAAGTCCAAGTTTTCTAGACTTCTGGAAGAAGATCTCAGTGCATCACATCTTCTGAACATATGAGCCCTGCCTCAACTGCCTACTCTCCACTTATTTCAGAAGCTCTTTAGACATATCATCTATTCCCTCCTGAATGCTTTGGCTTGGATTCATCCCACCTATCTTTAAGCACCTAATGGAGGCATCCAAATTACAATCTCTACCATCCAGCACACTGCAAGGTCAATGAAGGAAATGACCCCTCCTAAAAGCAATTCAGTGTCTATTTCAAAGTGTAGCAAGTATAAAAAGAGTGAGCATAAAAGGCTAAGTTCTCCTCCCTTTCCTCCCACTAACACCCTTTGGAAAAATACAAGTTCTCCCATTAGCCTAGGAAAGCAAATGGTGGTTGTCTCTGAGAAAGCACCACAGCCACTCCAAGAGCATTATTGCATACCATGAAATGACAAAAAAAAAAACTTGAAAGAGAGAAAGTGAGGGAATGCTGTTTAGTCAAAGACAATTCTTCATAAAATTCAGAATACATTTAGCTATACACAATAAAGTTTGTTTTCTTTGGGATTTTCACAAAGATTAAGGAATTACTTTCAAATTTCACCAACATTTAGCAGAAAAAGCAGATCAAGTTCTACTGTTCTTGTTTACTCCAAAAACCTGACTACTGTGATGAAACTACAGCTTCAAAAAGTTGGAATATATTCAGGTGTTGTTTTGCTTATATTGTCTTCCAGTTTCAATATTTCACCCCCCTGTACTGTCTCCACCTGTGCATGTATAGACAACACTCACATACACAGTTTCCTTAGCTGGACTACCCCAGTTAAGCTCTTCAAGCTTTCTCTAGTGAGACACTTATTTCTCCTTTCATCCTAGAAGCCTGTCTCTGCACAATTTTTTCTATCTCCTCCCCAAACAAATGACAATTTCTGAAGCATACTACATGATGTCTAACCAGATGCTTGTAGAATACCACCAGTAATTTCCTCTATCTACTGGAACCACCTGTAACTGTGTCCCAAGAGCACAAATGCCTTCTTCATAATTGCACCGCAGTGTTTGCTCAGTTACTTTGCACCCTTTTCTACTTTGATCCTTTTAATTATTCAGCCTCCAAGCTTTTATTTTGGCTGTATCACCCTAAAGCACATGGCTACAAATTTCATCCCACTCCTATTACTCCATCCCTCAGAGAGAAAGGAGGTTAGGTGTAAAGAAGTATTCTGCATCACAAAGATGTTTCAGATTTATTCCATGTCTGGGCACTGGACCTAAGAAATCCCCCAAGTTCTTCTTCCTCTCTGCATTACAAGCACTTTTCAAACTTCATGTCACCAATGAATTTTAGCAGCAAGACATCTTTACACAACCCTTTGTCATTAAATGAATTAGGAAACATCAAAATTGATCTGACAGTTGTTTCATAATGAATTTAATAACAAGAGCTCTCTGAGCTGCCTCTCCTCCTCTCAGCCAGGTCCTTTATGTGAGGCTCACAGACACACAGTTTCTCTAATAGTTTTTAATTTCTCCTGTTTAACCAACAGTTTGCAGAACAGCACCACATTAGTTACTAAGTACATATTCAGATGACACTATAAAAATATGCATGGAGAAAGTAAGTTCTTTTCATCAGTTTGCCACACTCCAGCTTTTGGAAGTGGGGTGTACTGCATTTGATTCCATTCTCTCCATACCTAATTATTTTTAATTATTTTTTAAGCAATAATGCACCTTTTTAAAATACCAGCACACTGCCAAAAATTTAGGAAGTTCAGACCACATCACAAACTGTTACTTGTGCTTGGAATGGGCTGCCTGTTTAAAAGAACAAACAAACCAACCCCAAATTTTCAGCACCAGTGCCTACCTTAGCTTCTTCACCAGTAGCCCTTTTGCCTCTCACTCCAATTCCCCATATCAATTTCCTATACTCTAACTGGCTCATGAGACACCCCCCTTAGCTTGCTCCCTCTGTCTAAGCAGTTCCCAAACTCTGAATTTATATAATTTACCTAAGGATTTATTTTGTTTCATCTGTGTGTAATTTAGCTGTGGTGGGGGTTACTTGGTTTTAAGACCACAGCACTTCCCTCAGCAGTAGACATAACACCAAACCATCCACTCCCTAGAACTACCTGGTTTGGATCCTACAAGGAGATGACTAAAAAAACCCCAAAAGATTAACCACACTCAGCACTTAAAAGTATGATTATGGCACTGTATTAACATAGAAGTGAAGTTATTCTTCTTCTGCCACAACATTAGGAAGACACATTGATTTTTATTCTCACTACTGAGTTTTGAGATCACCAGGCACACTAAAGTGAATACAGAAAGGAGATTAATATCACTAAAAAATAACCAAAACTTGGCTTCCTGGAAAATTTCATTAATTCATACCTCTGCAGTTAATATACACCATAAAATCAATATAAGCAATATGGAGGGTTGGGGGGAAGAATGAAAAATGTGAGAACTTTTTTTCCCTCTACCTCCCCAAGATGGATAAGGTTCTTGATGCTGAAGAGCATTTCTTATAGATTTACTATGAAATATAAAATGCACATTGAGATAAGATAGTAATTTTACAGGGTATATAACAAAGTATGTCTAAAACACAGGATAAATATTTTCATTTAAAATAATAAATAATCACATATTAGCAGAAGCCCTAAAAGAATTTTTAAGTCAGTCAAGCAGATGTTACATGAAGTGCAAAGATATAGCTGTTCTAATGAAATGTTTGAGTATTTTCTTATTTATAGCACAGCATGCCACTGACACATTTAGTTTGCATCTTTGTCTCTCTCTCTCTATATATATATTTGTGTTTCTTAATCTTGGCTTGAAGGAATCTTTGTCTTGACTTGCATATCACACTACCCCAAAGGGTTTGAAGCAAATAATCCTAAAACTTGCCTCTAAATTTAGAATCCAATCTCATTTCCCTCAAGAATATTTGTAAATGTAAAACTTGCAACTGCTGTACTACTTAATCTTGCAAACAAACTATAAGGGAGCTGAAAAAAATATTTCTGGCAAAAGTCCAGAAACCTCAGAACTAAAAGAAGAAAGAGAAAAGATAAACCCATATGTGTATACACAATTACTCAAAGTGAAGAAAAAAAGTCTTGGTTAGGTAGAGAAATTTTGACACAAAAGCATCAAGTTTTTATTTTTCAAGTTAAGAAAGAATTCTTAGTCATCTGAGCTATCCTATTTCCTACATTAAAAGCTGCCAAGGAGGTCGTATCTGTATTCCTTGTATGCTTAAAGCCCCTCCACCTATTCTTGTCAAGTGTCTTGGTCACAAAAAACTTTTGCAATTCTCATAGCCCTGACAGGTTTGCTCTTCAACTGGGAATGTTACAACAACTGTCCTGATTATGGTTTTTTTTTTCTTTTTTTTCAGGGTACCAAAGGGAGTTCCAGCCTTTTGCTACAACAAAGTGATCATATCCTCACACTTCTGCGTTGTAGCATCAACTGCAACATTACTGCTGACAGCAGTCAAGGGCAGCCAGAGTATCAGAAGAAGGATTAAATACAACTTGCAGTCTACATCCCCTCTGCACTCTTATGTAATAGCACATTCTGTTTGTGACCTCGAGCATGCAAATCTCACCCTCTCCCCCCCACCCCAATCTCATAATCACAGCTCCAGTAACTACCCCATCAGTTGCACTGTGTACACAATAAAAATTTTCAGCATAGATTATATTATCCAAACAACAACAACACACTCCTCCCACCAAACAGAAAACCACCCAAAAATAAAACTGTATTTATGAAAAGATTATAGTAACAACCGTGACCACAATTTTTGGAAGAGAAATTTGGGTCACATATATGCTGATGTGGAGTAAATTGTGTTTTCTTTGTTCTAGGCATCTGCAAAGTTTGT